TTCCAGAAATAACATGTTGGAATAAAAAGTGCGTATGATGGGTACAGGAGAGCGGTCAGTGTCCAGTTGTTGGGCTCAATAGATCTGTTTGATGGCTATCTTCCAGGAGAACAGATCTATTAAGATTTAGTCTGGATAAGGACTCAAATAATGTTTTAATTGATTTAGAATTAGCCAATAATAAAACATTTAGCTTATTATTGAATTTGTTGATGAAAATAATAAATAAAATACACAAACAATTACAAATACTTTACAGCGCGGGAAGATTCTACTCTCAACCTAAAAAAAACACAAGATTTAATATACAACAAATATGAAGTCAATACTGATGGCAAAGTATTTGAATAACATCTAATAAAGACAACAATAAATGCATTCATTGGCCTCTGGGAGTTCACAGTTCTGACATTTATTAGACTGACTTATCACTTAATTGTCAAAAGAATTGCTAATGGGAATATGTTGCAGGTGTTTTGCACTAGGGTGAGTGGGTATAACAAATGGATCATTGGAGGTGTAATCTGTCTTTAAAGCGCTAACCACTTCCTGTCTCTCTCTCTTCTCTCCGCTGCAGGAGTTTGCGGGCGAGGACACCACGGACCTGTTCCTGGAGGAGAGGGAGGCGTCGCTGCGGCAGGCCCAGGAGGAGAAGCACAAGATCCAGATGTCGGTGCCGGGCATCCTGAACCCTCACGAGATCCCCGAGGAGATGTGCGACTGAGCGCCGGCTCCACAGACTGTACAGTACTCCCAACAACAAACAAACAAACAAACCCTCACCACAGCAAACACAACAAAACCCAAGAGAGACACTTGAGCATGGCGGGCGCCCCCCCCCCCCCCCCCCCCCCCCTCTGCGGAGCACAGCCCCATCGGATGTTTGTTGACCAAAACAATGCCAACAATATGTAAATGATTACCGCGTCACCCTGTGGCCCTTTTTACATAATCAGCGTTTTCTATGGAGACTTTTTGTGTAATATCTTTCCAGAACTGTTAATCTGCGCTTCTGTTCCGTCGGTCTCTGGCCCATCCCAAGACCTGCATGATGAGGTTGTAACCGTTAGACACCTTAACCTTTTTGTTTTCGTTGTTTCCCCCCCCCCCCCACCCCACCCCTCCTCCTCCCCTTTTCCCCATATATTTGTTTATATATAAATACATTATATATACAGTCCAAGCAGGGTTTTTCGTAAAAAACGGCATACGTGTCAAGTCGGCTTCTAGACCTGTGATGTGACAGACAGGAAGTGGAGGCCCTCGCACCGCTTGTTTGGTGCCCCACGGCATTGTGGGAGAATGTGAACGGATAATGAATGAAGGCGGAGAGGTGCGGCTCCATGTGTCGGGATCTGTTGCTCTCCAGGTGTGCTTCACCTAAAAGAGAAAGTGTTTGGGAGGGAGGGGTTTTTTTTAGGGAAAGCTAACCGAATATGTGCATATCATCCCAATTGTATAGCATCTTTAATACCATGGGAATTTGTTTTCATTTTTTTGTTTCTTTTTGTTGTGGGTGTGTGCGCGTGTGTGCTGTCGCCTAGTCGACATCAGCGTTTTGTTTTCCTCTAAGAGGATTGTTGCTTCATTATGGGATGTTTTAAGGAAGTGCGGAGGTATTTATGGGTTCTTAGTTGGTTGCATCTTTATAACAACTCCTGTTTAACTCAGATGGCTTTTGAGATTTTGAATTGTACTAATTTAGATTGTTTACCATGCAGTTGTGCTTCAAGACACTACACTTTAGAGCAAAATGAAAAAATAAACTGGGTTTACATTTAATTTTTGTATTTTTGCATTTTTCAGTTGTACCTGTTTTGAGTTCTGTCCAAGATAAAAAACAAAAGGCTTTTTTGTCCTGAGGGCGAATGAACTGCCAACGAGTTAATTAGGAAAAGAATGTATAAATCCAAATAAGTACCCAATCTCTGATGGCAAATTTCCCTTCTCAAGGTGTTACATTTGTTGTGAACTTTTTGAACTGATTAAAGTTGAGAATTTTATAACCCCGCCTTTGCTCTCATTCCTTCATTACACACAGATTATTTTTCAATACTAAATTGAAAACGAAAGCAATGTTAAGACTTTTGTACCGGATATTAGAACTCTGCTCATTTTCGGGTTTCATATTTGTATTCTGTGGCTCTACTGTGACATATTTACAAAAAGCTCTTTATTTGTCTCATACTGCCTGTGCTGCAGCACCTCTTTTCACCCAATGGAACCGTGAGTGTTACGTAGTGATGTCATTATGTTACTGAAGTAAACAAAGGAGTCCAATGGAGGCGGTTCAGAAAGGGGGGGGGGGGGGGGGAAGAGTGTGTGGGAGAGAAACTCCATCTGGAGAGAACTTTGGGATTTTAAGCTTTGCAGACCATTTACATGCACAAAAACCTACATAACAATACAGGAAAGAGAAAACTCAAAAAGCACAATAGGGCCTCATTAAGTTTTGAAAATGTGGAATTTTTGTCCTGAGATTGAGATAGAATTACCCACACATACTGAGCATGAGGCTCTAGTTGAGAGTAAATGAAAGCCCCTCCATGAACAGCACTGACACTTCTTGATCCAGACTCACACCTGCACGGCTGACACCATCCCATAAATCATAAAAGGAAAGGTGGTTAATGATGATGGATGTACTCCTGAGGCATCGGGTCATTTCCGCTCAGACATATTTGGCCCCCGGGTGGCTGTGTGTAAGCGGAGCCCGTCACTAATCCCTGTTAACATGCTGCTATTGCATTAAAGGTTATGCTGATGCTCTGCCTCTGAAAGCTAAAACCCCCGACTGACAGAGAGGAAGCTGGACTCTCATTCCACCTCAGTGTATACGTTACTGTGTAGTGGGTTCAGGAGGTTCAGGCTTTATCTGTCAGACACAGCTACAGTGTCGTTGTGCAATACATACAAAACATCTTGAGTATGGAAGAGTATTGTTTTCATTAAGCATTTTAAGAATAAGGTCAAACTTTCAGCAAATAAATATTTAACTTATGCCTGGCTCCTATAATATGTTGTCGTATTGAGAACTTTACTGTAACTACCTTCACCTCTGGGAACCATTGTTATTACATTACATGTCACTTGTTAGACGCTTTTATCCAAAGCGACTTACATACTCAATACTGTGGGCAATCCCCACAGGAGCAATTTGGGGTGAAGTGTCTTGCCCAGGGACACAACGACATGCTGACTGCAGAGGGGTTTGAACCTGTGCCCCCCCTGATCCGAACACCAACGCACTACGCCACACGCCTCCCTGCAAAAATGGCTGCAAACTTTGTTCCACACAGCATTTGACCAACATTATTTCCCCAAATGTTTGTCCTTTGGCATCATTTGTAAACTCAGACTGCAGCTTAAACCACATGCAAGACACTTTGGAGTCGAATTTCATTCAGGATTAAACTGGACCTACAACTCAAGGTTCAAGCAGCTCTGCATCAAATCAAAACGTTGATAAATGATCTGTACCTCTGACTGGGAGAAGGTCATCCAGGCCTTTACATCAAATCTCCTAGATTTTGCAACTCAGCATATTTTTCTAATCTTTATGTTTGTTTAAGGTCTTTCATTACAGAACTACAGTCCCGATGTCATGTCCGCTCTAAATCCAGGAGGACAACATGTCATGGGCACCGGGACAGTTATCTCTTCTATGCATTGGCTTTGAACTGTCCCATCTCTGGATGACCGCGTGACGAGGTTTGTCACACTGTCGTTTTTTACTCTTCTATTTGCATCTTTCCTTTAAGTCTTACTGTTTTAGCTTATTTATATATAAATAAAATGGATGAATTGCTGCATGTTCCATCACCTGTTCTCCTCATATCAGTGATATCATTTTATTTGAGCAAGGTTTGAGTCAGCAGCTCTTTCCTCTGTTAATTAACATTTCATGTTTGCTATGATGTTTTAATATCTGATCATCTCTCTGGGACCATAAGTCAGTCGGGCTGTAACTGGACCCCCCCCCATCCCTCCTCTCCTGACCCAGATCCAGAGATCCTCAGCCATTCTCGGCATCCGCTGTCGAGGAGAAGAGAGAACAGCTGGGGCACCCCCCCCCCAACCACCATTTAAAAAAAGCCCGCTCTACATCTCGTATGCTCTGCTGTGTCCACGCTGCAGCAGGCAGGGTTATTAATACCCCGTGTGTAAGTTGGATAGGAAGAGCGGGGTCAGCACACACACTGGTCAGCGCCTGTTACACAGAGAGAGGCTGACCCCCCCCCTGCCCAGTGGCACATACCAGCCCCCCGCCCAGGGCTTTCTACTGAATAAACTGCCTCCTTTCTGCCTTTTGATCCAGAAAAATCAACGTCTAAAAAAACAAAAAAATAGTTTGATTAGAGTTTAATAACACTTGATGTTTCCTGAATGTTCTGATATCACCTGGCAGAGGTTTGGGGGACAGGTTATGGTCAAACTGGGGCAAAGTTGATTGTCGAGAGCCCCCCCGCGAAGGTGAAACACTGCCCCCGAGTGGACAATAACTGGACGGACACCCTAGTCAAACAAGTGTCATGTTTTATTGGTCCCAGTGTTGTACAGTGCAGTCACGTTCCAATACAGACAGGAAGGACTAGACCTACATTTCTACCAGAACTGGGGGAACGTTGCTAAATCAGAGTTGAATGTTCTGTTGATGGAAACAAGCTGACCTGTGTTACTGCAGTGATCCTATCTCTCCCTGAAAGAAGCTTTTCAGTCCCATATGTGTGGAGTGTACTGGATCCTCTTGCTATGCTCCTGTAAGAGATGACAGTTAGAAACAGAACAAGCTACAGAAGAGAAGAAGGGGGGTGGGGGGGGGGGGGGCCACAGGTCGTGTTTTTCAGAGACTGACTGCAGCTGCATAAATAGGAAGCTAGCTGTGACAGAGGGGAGCGGTTTGATGGTGATCAGTACATAGTCACCTGAGTTAAGCACAGAGGGGGGGGTTAGGGTTAGTGTCCACAGCTGGGTTATAAGTGGAGGCCGTGCTCAGAGGGGGGGGGGGGGGGCCAGAAGGAAGGAGTTTTGTGGTGCAGAGCCCTCGCAGAAGGATCTTCCTCTTTGAGAGCTCTTCGTCAGTGTTCATGCTCGCCTCTTAGACGGCTCAGAGGTCTTCTCCCCGTCAGCTGCTCTGGGTGCTCCGGATCTGAGCGTAGCGCATTTTAGATCTACAGAGAGAGAAGATTGGATGTAATTGATAAAGTCAATTAGAGTGGCATTTCGAGGATTGTGTCAAGAAAGAGAGAAAGAATTGGGGATTTCATTAGTTTTTTTAATGATTAAGGTCGTCTTAAAAGAGAGGGTATACAAACATCATGCAAAAAGTCATAGTATATACTTTTTATAAATCAGTCATAGTATGTTGAAAAAAACATAAAAGTTGCATATGTCAAGAAAAAGTAAAAAAAAGTAATTGCATAGTATGTAATTATCAGAAAAAAAACAACATAGTGACAGATGTCGAAACAAAGTAATAGTACAGTATTTCGTAAATATCAGATAAAAAAAGAATAAGTATGATCGGAAAAAAATCATAGTATAGTATGTCGAAAAAGGTCACAGCATAGTATGTCCAAAATATTTTTGAAATGTAAAAAGTCATAGTATATAGTATGTCCAAAAAACCGTCATGGTATAGTGTGCCGGAAAAAAAGAAATAGTATATTAAGCAGAAAATAAATGAAAAATCGACATAGTATAGTGATTGAAAAAAAGTCATGGTATAAAAAAAAGTATGTAAGTGTGTGTGTGTGTGTGTGTGTGTGTGTGTGTGTGTGTGTGTGTACAAAGGAGTACCTGGGTGTTTTCTCTGAACTCTGTCTAGCTTGAGAGGAACCCTTAAACTGGGCTTCAAGTCTTGAGTAGATTCCACCTGTAGGCTGCAGCAACAACAATGCACACACACACACACACACACAACACACACACACACACACACACACACACACACACACACACACACACACACACCAACACACACACAACACACACACACACAACACACACACACACACACACACACACACACACACACACACACACACACTAACACCACACACACACACACACAACACACACACACAACACACACACCACACACACACACACACACACACACACACACACACACACCACACACACACACACACACACACACACACACACACAACACACACACACACACACACACACACACACACACACACACACACACACACACACACACACACACACACACACACACACACACACACACACACACACACACACACACACACACACACACACACACACACACAGTCTGGCGTCAGGCAGCTGTAAAAACCAGGACAGCAGGGCTGACAGCTCTGCACCAATCATTTCATTATATTTCCAAAACCCTGTGTTTGTGAACAGGTACTTGCTTCTTTAGTGTCTTTAGATCTGCTCTGTTCCTGCTCTCCAAACCTCATCTTGGTCAGGTAGCCGATGATCTCCTCCATGCGACGCTGGTCTGGTTTCAACAAGACAAAAAAATTCAAACACAGCAAGATCGAACTTAATGTTAACTATTGAAATAGCTGATAGATGATTGATATGAATAACATTCCGTCCTACCTTCCTCCCTCTGAGCGTCCTGGTTGTACCTCATGGAGCGTGAAATGTCCCACTTACTTTTCTGGACACTCACTCTAAAAAACACACACCAGGAGCAGCAGTGAGAACTCAGGCGAACGGAGGCCATACACACACACACCTATTCAAGTGGTTTATCAGATACATTCAAAAAGAGTTTTAGTCAACTCAACACCCAGCATCTGATACTGTAGATACAGAAATATGTAAGCATGAATATGAGAAAGAGCGTGTGTTTGTGGAAGTACTCACGTGAAAGGTGTGTTGTCCCTGGACTGTGACTGAGGGAAAGAACATCAGATTTAGAAAACACAGCGAAGCAGGTTTCAAAGTTGCACTTTTCCGCTCCAAGGGATAGTTTGGTTCTGCCCGCAACTCAAATCCACTGTAAGTACCTGACTATGGATAGAAGTACTGATACTCAGAAATCACACAGACTACATTGTTCCTCATTTTCTACAATAACTCATGGAAGTTCACAAACTATAAATAAGTATTGTATACGTTGATTTAAAGTCACTATATTTTTAAAAGCAAGATACTACATTTGATATAAATGTGTTACGGTAACTTGAAATAATACACTATTACAGAACAACACAACCCATGCTGCAGCCTTACACTGCATCGTACCAGAGTCAGGGGTGTAAAGTAACTAAGTACATTTACTCAAGTACTATACTGAAGTACAATTTTGAGACACTAGTACTTTACTTGAGTATTTAAATGTTTTGCTACTTTGTACTTCTACTCCACTACAATTATTTATTCCCTTTAGTTACTTAACAGATTTGGATGAATGATGTGAAATATAATCAAGTCTTAAATCAGACTTTAGTTGTGTCCTGGATCCTGGATCCTCTATCCTGAGTCCTGAGTTCTGGATCTGAGTCCTGGATCCTGTGTCCTGGATCCTCTATCCTGAATCCTGGATTTAGAGTCATGTCTGAACCTGTCACTGTGGTCCTGCCTGACTCTCATCATACTACTTCCCTGATGGCTCCCACAGGATTGTTGACATCCTCGTGGATTCATCTTCTTATTATAGACACATGCATTTCCAAACATTTGGACTACCTATGTTGTAAATGTATTATCTCTTCGATTTACACACGGCATCTATTGCACGTCTGTCCGTCCTGGGAGAGGGATCCCTCCTCTGTTGCTCTCCCTGAGGTTTCTCCCATGTTCCCCTTTAAACTGTGGGGTTTTTCTGGAAGTTTTTCCTTGTACGATGTGAGGGTCTAAGGACAGAGGGTCTCGTATTGTCATACTGATATTCTGTACAAACTGTGAAGTCCACTGAGACAAATGTAACATTTGTGATATTGGGCTATATAAATAAACATTGATTGATTGATTGATAGTTCCACCTGGAGTAAATCCACAAGCTACCCTGCAGTATAACAAGTCATTCAAACTAGCTGCACCTTTACCAGCTTTGAGAACACTTTGATGATCAATCATTATCAAACATATATGTATTATTCTGAAATGGGCACATTTGGATCTGAGTACCTCTTCCACCTCTGACCTTAGTAAAACAACAACACAAATCAAATACTTAAGATGTTCATGTAGCATTGCAGTGTTTGGTCCACCTACGAAGTTCAACAGTAATGCAGTCAGTGACTCACTTTCTCTGCTTTGTCTTTGCGCTGGAAGTTTGGAGAGGACATTTGTTTTTTCAGAGGTCTGTGGGCCTTCTTGGCCTTCTTAGCAGCTGGAAACACAAAAACATGATGAGCATGCTGATGCAAGCTGACGCCATCTGCTGGCCAAACACAGCAACTGTTTAATTCCATCCTGAGAAAGGAACAACAATGAAACGTTACAAATAGATTCAATGGTAATGCAAAGTGAGGGAAGAGCAGTGTAGAGGTGCTACACATAGAGACATGCTCATTACGTGTCCTCACTTTACTCTCAACGTTTCAGCTGAAACAGTGACTCAGCATGAAATGGAAGCTGCTGCCAGGACCACAAAGGTCAAAGGAAATACAAAGCTATGAAACACTCATGAGGTCAAAGTGTGTTCATGTAGATTATGAGGAAGAAACACAGAAAACGTCTATTTGAATGTGTATCACTTTGTTACCTTCATAATGACTGCAGTTATAACTATGATAGCTTTCTATTGCAGATGTGATCACGCTGCAGCACGCACTTCTTGATTCCAAACTGCTATTGAACAGTAAGAAAACCAAAGCAATGCTTTTTGCTCCCAAGTCAGCGTCCTCCTCTTGCCTCTCCATTGACACCCTTGATGGTGTCTCTGTTGAGTTTGTTGATACCTACAAATATCTGGGCTTTTGGTTGGACAGTAATCTGAACTTTAAACACCATATTGAAGTCTTAACAAAGAAATTGAAATTCACTCTTGGCTTCCTTTTCAGACTTAAATGTTGTTTTTCAATTTCATCCCGTAAAAGGTTGGTCTCTGGCTTATTCCTGTCCCAGCTGGACTACGGTGATACCATTTATAGATTTGCCTGTCCCACTGTTTTGGCCAAACTTGACCCACTTTACCATGCTGCACTGCGTTATATATCAAATGCACCCTATAGGACTCATCATTGCACACTGTATAGCCTAACTGGATGGTCCTCACTTACTATGCGTAGGATGCAGCACTGGTTTTTATTAATGTATAAAGCCATTTTAGGTAAGCTTCCACTCCACATATGTGCCAGATTTGCCCCAGTTTGTGACTCTTACAACCTCAGATCCAGTGCCTGGATACGGTTCCAGGTTCCTACTGTACGGACTGAGGCTGGAAAAATGAGTCTTTCTTATTATGGTCCTTGGTCTTGGAATGACCTTCAATCACGCCTTAAACTGAGGGCACTTGTCTCTATATCATGCTTTAAATTGAAGTTGTCTGAAGTCCTCACCACCAGCTGCTCTTGCAGTAACAAGTAGTGTACTTTTCTTACTGTCCTAATGTGCACAATGTAGTGACTGCTTTTTGTCTTTTGTTTACTTAGTTATGTTCTCTGTATTTTATATGTTTGTGTTATGTGTAACGTTGCTGCCTTCTTGGCCAGGTCAGCATTGAAAATGAGATTTTATCTCAATGTTTTTATCTGGTTAAATAAAGGTTAAATAAAAATAAAATGTCCATGGGGTTATTGTGATTACACACAATTACCATAGAAACTGCATCAAACTGTCGTTACAAAAGCAATCATTACAAAATAAATGACAAGAACACAGAGGAGCCTGTAATTAAAACTCACAGCAGCTTTAAATGACAGGAACTTCCACGACTTCTTCTTATTTCTTTCAGACAGGCAGTGCGCCTACTTTGTTATCATTAGACCTCTCATTATATTTGACCCTGTTTCTACTCTACTAAGTATTCATGAATAACTTTAGTATTTTTAAACCTGGACCCTATTGTTCAAGTCTTTGTGTCTGATGAAGACAACTAGTCAGTCAGAGTCTATTTGTGTTAATAGGTTTAACTTGTGTAAAAGATTCTCCATGTGATGACGCAACATTTCAGAATGACACTTCTCTAAAGGAGACTTGTTGGGACACAAAAACAAAACATGAACTGCTTTACTGAAACTAAAACACACCTTCTGTCCCTCATTACTTCTGCCACACAGCACAGGCTGTGTATATAAACCATCTGCCACATAATGAGCTACAGAGCTCCCACACCTTGTTTCTTGGACAGCTCCTCTTCATCCCCCACCTCATCCTCAGTGACCTCTGACCCTGTGGTGTACTCCTCATCCTCTGACAGGAGGGACTGCTGCCTCTGGAGGAGTAAAGGTCACATTGTAAACATTAGCCCTCTTGATGACACTGACTTCGCTAACAAAATAAGTCCTTCAAATCACCTCGATGGGATTGTAACTGTAAAGACAGCTGGCTAACAAACAAATACATTTAAGAATAGAAGCAGATGTAATGAAAGAAGTGAAGGAAAAGTCCTACCAGTTGCAGACTCCAGTTTTTCAAAAGGGAAAACTGGTTGAAAAAATAAAGTAGCTTAAGTCAGAACCAGAAACATAACATGCTGGTAGAAGAGAAGCATCAGAATAGCAACACACTGAGAGAGAGACTCACGGTGCAGCCCTCCCCCTTCAGGGGTCCCAGCAGGGTGGGCTCCAACAGAACATCACAGTCCGGAACCTTCTCTGCACCGGAGGGACTCTCCTCAGGACTAACACACATACAAACACAAAAACATGTATTCAGAAGCTCTCACAACAACTGCACCTGTGTAATAGTATCAAACACACTCCTGCTCACCCCTCTGGAGTGGGGGTGCTGCACACACACACGGCGTCTCGGTGCAGCAGCAGGTCGTTCAGGACTCGGGTCTGAGCGAAGGTCGCCTCGTCACAGTCCTCTTCATCAGGGACGTTCACGATGTGGTCCCGCATCTTACAGCCCTACACAGGAACACATTCACGCTGTAACAGAACTCCTCAACACACGGTTTGAAATATGTATTGGCAACAAATATGAAGAGTAAACCTAAGATTGGGGTCGGCCAGGGAAGCCTCTGGGTGTCTGGAGTGTCTAATAAAAAAGCTGGGAACTGTTTGTAAATGTATGTAACAATAGCAAAGTTGTATGATATCAAAACACACGCTTGACCGCCCCAACTCTTAAACTTCACATTGCGCTTTTTGCTCTTTGCTCACAGCGAAGGTGGGTGCAAAGCCTTGCAGTGAAAGCATTTAGTTAGTTTTAATTCTGTGGTTACATTTGCTGCTTGCCCCTGGTGTTTAATACGGCTGTAATCTCATTGGTTGCATGAAAGATCAGTGGGAATTGAGGTCAAAGTTGAAATAATTAGAACTTTGAGTGCAGTGCTTGGCGACAATTTCGAGGGCACTGCTTTCAACGTAGACAAATATGAGCACAGGATGCGCAGAGCTGTTTTACTGCTGGTCATGTGAAGGCAGCTGATTGGGTTAGCAGGGCTCCGCTAGCTCCTCTGCTTGGGACTCTGGTGTCAGTGTTGGACATTGTAAATGGTGGATTCGTATACATTTCTATCTTAGTGGTCACACACATATGTGGTCATACACAGCACCGTACACACAGTGAAACGTAGTGTCTGCATTAACACATTCTAGTATTTTATGAGCAGTGGGCAGCCACTGTAACAAACCCGGGGCACGGCGGCAGTGCCCAGGAGGGGAACTGGCACCTCATAAAATAACTCTGTGTGTGGTGTGTGTGTGTGTGTGTGTGTGTGTGTGTGTGGGGGTCCATACCTTTGGCATACCCGAGGGGTCGAAGCGGAGCACCCTCTGGTTGCAGCAGGGGTAGATTCCTGCACCATGCCAGCCTTTCTCAGTGGCCATCCCAGGGTACAGCACAGTGTCCGGGTGGTACTTGCATTGGGTCAGCTCTGCACACACAAACACCTACACACACACACACACACAGAGACACACACACACCCACAGAGACACACACAGCACACCCACATGAGACACACACACAACACACACAACACACACACACACACACACACACACACACACACACACACACACACACACACACACACACACACACACACACACACACACACACACACACACACACACACACACACACACACAACACACCCACACACACCACCACACAACACACACATCACCCCCAACCACACACCACATACACCCACACCACACACACACACACACACACACACACCACACACACACACACAACACACACACACACCACAACACACCACAACACACACACACACACACACCTCTTTAGCTGGGGATGGATACAGTCAAAAGTATGTGTGTGTCCTTCCATGTATGCACTCACCTGTTGGCACCGGGAGCAGGGCAGGTAGTTGATGGTTCCCCAGATCCTCCAGTAGACCAGGACCCAGGACTTGAGCTCCTCATATAGGGCACTGATGTATTCATGCACATCCCAGCTCTTCTGCCTTAAAACACACACACATGGATACACTGTGTTTTAGAGTTTTACAGTAAATGGGATATTTCTGTTTATTTTCAGCTGAACAAACAAAGGAGCTACATGAATCTTTTTCTGTGCTGTATTACTTAGTGTGTGAATAGATGATCTCTCCTCGAGAATCAATGTTGATTTTCCCAGGAACACAAGAGATGTTCCTCTCTGTGTCTTTGGTCAGCATCTTCAGGCAGAGACCACACCTGGGAATGAGCACACATATAAATGTCCAACAGTGAGACTGATAAGAGAAGACGCGACTAAAACCTTTAATAAAAGTGAAGGGAATGCTTGGTGGAACAGAGGCGAGCTGCTCACCGGTACAGGGTCGAGGCGTTTCCAGGGGAGTCTCTGTTCTGGCAGTTGGGATCGAAGAGACGCTCAATTTTCTTCTGGAACAATTTACTTTGGGAAGGAAATTTAAAAAAAGCAAAATAATCTATTTATGTAAATGAATCCAGAGAATGTTTGAAGATTACTTATTATTTTAGATAGTTTGAAGCTTCAAAGCTTTATTCATAACGTTTACATTTGTCATTTGAACTCTTTGTATTTGCATGTGTATTCATTCTGTTTAAAGGAGGTATTTCTGAACCGTGACAGATTAAGATTAAGTTACACTAATATAATAAGAAATATAGTATTTATAGGACTAGATTCCAGAGGTGGCTGGTGGGGTAGTGACCAGCTTGTGTGATCCAAACATGTCAAAATAAAAGATCATAATCATTTCCACAATTAATTTTGTTATTTTTCCATCCATATTTGTTGCCATTAAGCCTTTCCAAAATAAAAGGTTTTACAGCGGTTTGCTTTCCTGCTTGCTGCACCTATAATAAAGGGGCGCTCCAGCAGCAGTTTAACACTACCATAAAAAACAATTACAAAATTTGTTTTGGCTCTTATACAATTATTGAAAATATTAAGGCGTACCACAAAAACAATCATATCATGTAACTGAATTAACTTGGTGTTCCTTCAAGATGTCATTATGTTAATACTTATTCAATGTTATGAATCACTTTATTCAATTTAAGGAATGTATTGGATGATTGACTTTGAATGGTGACAGTATAATAAAATATGACAACAGAAATGTGAAGCCTCGAATGCTCTCCCATATTGGTACCTTTTGAACTTGTCTTTTTTGTCCCGGATGTCGTCGGCCTCGTTGTGGTTGAAGAGCTCTGCGATGCGGGTTGCCAGGTTGCTGTTGATGCAGTTCATGTTGCAGGGCGTAGCCACGACGGAGCTCATGTGCTTGTGGCAGTACTGGATGCACTCCTCCACCTGAACATGGACAAACATACACCTTTTGGAGACTTTTCCAGAAATAATTCATTTCATTTCAATGACCCTAGAAATATACTGATTAAGCCCTACTTTGTCATTGTTAGAATGTTATCTTTAAATACAGCATGGGTATAGAAATGCACAGCAAACTGTCTAAATAAATGTTGGGGCTAAATAACGTCAACACTCTTAACATCCATGCAACATCAATTTAACAAAGCTCTATATAAGGGCCTTCTGCTTTAAGAGAGAGATTACCAATTATCAGTTCTGAACATCTCAATAAGTCTTTTTTACAATTCAAAACAAAAGGCCGAAGCACATCACCACAGCAAGCAATGGCACGTCACAACACTTACTAACGTATCCATCTTCAAGAACTCGGAGGAGATCAGGATTGAGATCACATTGCTGGGCTCTGTAACCGACAAACACTACATGACCAACCAAGCAAACACTAACACAGAACACACAGCCAGTGACCCACCAAAAACACAACACAGCTATTCCCATGTGTAACAATGTCATATTGATTATGTTTTTGTAGTTTGTCGGGGATTTACCGAGGCGGGGTTTGTCCCGGTTCCCCTCTCCCGCAGAGTTCCTCCTGACGTAGTTCATGAGCCAGTCGAAGATCTGCACGTCACAGTGGACCGAGATGTCCACCTCCTCCCACCTCTGGGCGTCCACAGACAAATACTCAGCAAAGTAACGCATCTCTTTGACTAGAAGATCTCTGGGGCATGTGAAGTCCTGCTTCAGGTTCTTGGTCTCATCACACACATGGATCACCATGTTGGGGCTAGATATGGGTATAAAAGAATACTTTGTGTCAGAAGTATCACTGTATGTTTCTGATCATCATGAAAACATGCTGGAAAAGCGTTAAAATGTAACTAAAATATAGTGGAATGAAATATGTTTGGGTAGGTCACACTCATTCAATCTTATATTAATGGACATTCATTTGAAAGGAAAAACAACAATCTTCAATACTTACTCTCGTGGTTTCTGAGGTTTGTCTTCCTCCTCTGCTGAGACTCGTCTCTCTTTCTTCTCCACGGCACCAACCCTTCCTGTGGCCGCTGATTTTGAGCCTGCTGACACCAAAAGGAAAAATGTAAATAAAGTCACACACGGTAACAAATTGTGTCTTTTTTTACTTTGCTGTTTAATATTTCTAATAAACGTTATGTATGGGTTTAGTTTCTCCTCAATTTGCATGTTACACTTAACTTAACTGACATTTGTGTTTTGGAAAGTCCAGTATAAAAAGGGGGGAAATTAAAAGTATGATTTTGACTCATTCTTTATGGAAAATCAGCCCACAGAGAGTACACATATGGCCAATTTCTGGTTAAAACTGCCATTTTTGGCCATTAAGGGATTCAGCATCCTCAATAACCCCCAAAACCACTCCAACATTGTCCAAATCGGCCAAGTCATGTTTTAACTATTGTTTACATAGGCTATAATGCCATTCATCTCTATGAACGCAACTTATGCTAATTGTGCAAATTGCCCAACATACACAAGTTAGCATCCGGCAGTTTCTATGTGCTGGGGACCCGTACTATACATTTCTAACATCACATTTTGGTGTACTCAACATTTCCGGGTTTACTATGCTGGCCACTGGCCTGTAGTGTTTGAAGCTGTTCATCCATGATAGTTTTAAATGTGTCAAACTGCAAAATCGTACCTTAAAGGTAGGGTAGGTAAGTTTGAGAAACCAGCTCGAGGTACACTTTTTGTTATATTCCATGGAATGCTCTTAACATCCCGATAGCAATGAATATCTTAAGTGCTTTGACAAAAAATCCATAAAAAAATGTCATCTGTGGAAGCCGTAATACTATAAAAAGCACGACCAATCATTTTAGCCGGCCCGGCTAAAATAACTGGATGGCCTACCTGCCTGTCAGCCTTCCATCTGTGCACAAACTTATCTCGTGCCCTCATTGGTCATGTGCGCGTTCGTGTGTGTTGGAGGAGGGGCTCTGTAAGGAAGTGGCAGATTTTCTCCGGTTGTGTATTTTCAAATTCTAGCGATCTCGAGCCGGTTTCTCAAAAATTACCTACCCCACCTTTAAGTGGGTTAGGAATTATATATATATTTTTTTTCTTTATCATGTTTATTTTGTTTAATCTTTTATTATTACTAGGTAACCAACATGTATGTTTTTTGGGTCTTTTGTTTGTACTGCATTGTTTATTATTGCTCTAGCATTTTATATAAGGGTTCAGCCTCTTAAGTTTTTATGGTATACTTGACTATCTGGACATGTGTGTGTTTCAATTTCAATAAACAAAGTGATGTATTGTACTCAGGATGTCACTAACGGACCTGTCACTTTGCTGCTGCTCTGGCTGCTTCCTGTCTCCACCGCCTCCACCGCCTCCCCAGCCTCCAGCAGTGTGGGGGGGCCGTCTGAAGGGGAGGTGCTTCCTTCTGTCAGGGCATTACACTGGTTGTCCACGTGAGGAAACCCCCCCGTGGTCTTCAGCTCCTCAAAGCGACAGGCACACTACAAGATCACATCAGAGACACAGTATTATTTCTTACCAACAACACACCTAACGTCACTAAACGGTGGAATGATTGATGGATGGGAGGGGACAGATGGAGGGGCAGATGGATGGAAACAATGATAGTTACCCAGCATTCCAGTTACCTCCTTGGAAGTGAATCCTGGAACCAGCTTGGCTACATTGTCCCAGTTTATGGGCTGGGGCACCCCCCACAGAGAGCCCAGCACCATGTCCAAAACCAGGACGTTGTTGTCATAAGGAAAGTTGTTGTTATCCGAGGAGAAGCGTCTCATCTCTACGGAGGCAGAGAGATGAGAAATAAAAGGCAGTAAGTCAATGATGAATGCCTACAGCTGCTTGATGATTGTATTTTATATTTTCTTATCATTATGGAGCATGGTGAATGGCCACTGTAAAATACCACATAGTACAACTGCAGTACATTTGGACAATGTCTTTTTTCAAATAGGCTGTTGACTCTGAAATACTTTTCAAAGGAAATCAAATTAATTCCAGATATAAAACCATAAACAATAAAGGTTAAGTGCTGGAAAAAACCAACCAATGCTCTTTCCATTTTTTAATTACATGAACTGTAAATTACCAAGGTGTATTGGTACATGTGAATGTTTACTGGTGAATTGTAGTATGTATAAAATGTGCTTTTGTATTTCTTTTATATTTATTCTCAATTTGTATTTTGCATTATTCATAGAAATATATTCTTAGTGTTAATTACAATTTCATCACCTTTAAATGGTAATTAATTGACTTTTAAGGTATTTTGTTTGGTCACAAAAAGAATATATATATATGTGGTGCATACAAAGATACAGAAAGAAGAAAACGTAGAAAAACTAAATAATCTTAAAATAGTTATAACAGCTATTTTAACAACTATTTTAAGACTATCCTAACAAATCAAAAATAAAGACAATATTTACACAAAATAAAATTAAGTGATAAACTAAGTACAGTGAAATATAATAAAATATGACAAATACTATATGCTATATTTAAAGTGGAGAGCTGTGCTCATTTAAAAGTGGTGTAAAAATGGTGTTAAATTGTAATTCAAAATAAGTCAATATCAATATTTTTAAAAGGTTTACGTTATTTTGAGAATGTTTCTCATTATTTTGATTAACAAATCGTTAGTTTAAAATAAATAGATATATTTTAAGAAAGTTTCTTATTACTTTGATAGAGTGGAAAGTTTCCATTATAATGATTTACGGGATATTTTTTATTTATTCATCACTAGTGTAAGTTTTGACTTTTTTGAAATGGTGGAAATGATGAGTCCTTCACTAGAAACCAAAGTTGCTACGATGTTCTACCATTGAATACATCGTAGGTCGTAACAAACTGAAGGGTCTGCAGAGGTTAACCAAAGATAATAATAGCAGCCAAAGATGTTCGCACTTTACATACATTTGCTGATTCAGACGAATGTAATAAATCCAATTTATGCAAAAGAGAAACTTCGGAATGTCAGTGGAGTAACGTTAGTGATGCTAGTGCAGGCCGAGTCCCTCTGTCCGCCCCCTGCTGCATCAACACCACATGATTATAGGTCAAATTCATTCAGCTGGTTCTCTACAAACATTTCAAACGCTAAGAATGGTTAGATATAGTGGACATACTTATCTTGGAGAGGGATTTTCTTCCCCGTTGTCTCGTACAGTGCAGTAGGAGTCGGTGCCTGTCTCATGTCATGGTGTGTGGATGATGATGATGCTGCGGTGCTCTCCTACCGGCTAACTGCAGCTACTGCTAATGCTAGCTCGAGGAACCTGCTGCCTTCAAGTACTCCTCGTAAATGCCTAGTCACAAACTCCAGTGATACAGTCAGTCGCATATATTTTCGTTCATCTTTTTATTTCAGATTATGCTCTAAAAACCACCCCTGGCGATAGCATATATTGCAATGTCATGATAAATTGTGCGGTATTTATTCATATAAATGGTTATGCTCACTTTCATAGAAGTGATTTAAAGTTATGCGGTCAAAAGAAATACATTTTAAAAAAAGTATATTTTGCCAAATTACTATTTCCGACTTCAACAAAAATACCTTTGAGCTCAGTATCACCCATGAAAACATAACTTCCAATACTTCATGAAGGCAGCATTAGCTTCAAGCAACTAGCATATCGGCTAGCTAGGTAACTTTATGTAGCTTCCCATCAGACGTTTGTAAATGTTTAAGCCCCTAGCTCAGTAGTATGGGGAAAAGTTACCGACCGGCTGTACTGTCTAAATCTGAACTTTGCAGTAAAGTCAAGAAACATTTTACTCAAATAAACGCTGTTAAGTTAGTCCTGTTCTTCGCTGCGTCCCTGTTGTCGCACTGCAGCAGGTGAGGCGTCCTGTTGCTTAGAGACAGAGGCCGTAAATCGATTACTTTTGTCCTCCTCAACATTTTCCCAAAACGTAATAAATTCACATGGAAAAATGTAATACTAGCAGTATTAGTACAATGAAACCTAGAAAAAAAACTATCTTGCTATCTTGGCCATGTCTGTGGTGAAACCCTGTTATTACTAATGAAACTCACTTCATAATCCAACTAGCTACTAATGATATATTAAGCCATTACACAAGGAGCCCAACATGATTTTCTTAAATATTTATTTTCAAAATAATTATATCAAATATTTACAAAATTACTTTCTCGACCAACCAAAAGCTGAAAATGTGCAAATGTAGCCCCCTTCTCATTCTGAATAACCCAATCACATTTGCTTCACAAATAAGACTATGTGGAGAACTACTACATGTAGGGGCAAACACCAAATAACATTATTATGGTATCAAATAAAAGACCTTGGCTTTGTCCTTACAGCGTCAGTATACAGATGATGAATCAGTGCACCACATTAACTTAAACATTGAACTAATTCATGTTAATTAACAATTTCAACATATTAAATACAAAATCCGACATTATCATTAGTACAGTTGTGTATCCTAATTAGCGAATACACAGAACCTTTTTTCTTGTACAAGCTCTGAATGAAGATATGTAAGGATTACTTAATTCCAGACACACTTGTTCTAAACAGTACAACAGGAAACCATTTAGTTTATCATCAGGTCCAGATTGTGTTTCATCTAATTTGAATAATTATAGATTTGTAGTACAACTTGAGCAATTCTTAATGAGGACTATGCTGTTTCCCCTAAGATCTCCTGTCAGCTCATTGTTAGTCAGGCTTCAGACTAAAACACAAATACTGAATGAGCTAACCCATAATAATCACACATAACCTTGCATAAAGAGAAATGCATACATGCACACACATCACAGGTCCGTCTTCTCAGGGATGTTTAGCACTATCGAGGGCATACTGGAGTTGGATGTTCCCACACTAAAGGGAGCGGGGGTTTCTCTGTACACTAAATCTAGCAGGGCCTCTTGAGAAACAGGGGCAGAGGCTGAGCCGAGACCCGGTGGAAAGCCTGGGGCATGACTTGGCTGTTGGTGAGAAGAAAGCGCTGTTACTGAGGCCTGTGTGGTGCCTTGCTGGACCTGAGCAAGCCTCTCCATCTCTGCGTGCTTCAAGCCTCTCCTCTTCCCCAGGACCTTGACGTAGTTGGCTGGGACGAGTCCTGTGGTCTGGCCATCAAAGCTGGCCAGCAGCCAGCCACGCACCTTGGGCTGTTGCTCTAAACACAGGGGAGAATACAAGGTCACAATCTGAGCTCATCAACATCAAACACACACACCAAGCATTTCTCTTTAGAGAAATCTTGAATTTTTACACAAAATGCCTTTCATGATCACTTCCTCCAAGGAGGTTTTATATTTTGCCTCGGTTTGTTGGTCTCAGCAGAATTACAGAAAAACTACTTGCAGAAACCTTGGTTTAGCATAGCCTAAGGAAGAACATGTTGGAGATCTTAATCAAGGGGGATGGAAGCACAACATCATTTTCACTTTTGCTAACATTGCAAGGCAGGCCGTGCTGCATTCACGTGGTGTCAAAGAAATCTGACAAATGGGTACCAGAATGGGAAAATTCACATGAATGCCACCTTAAGTTAGAACAACTTGGAAACAAATACTCATATGTTGTCTAAATGCTCTGAGCAATTAAATACGACACATGTTCTTTATAGCATCCATATTGTTCCCACATTGCAACATAACCCTCATAAACACATACAAAAACCAGCAACTCACCATTAGAGGAGCAAGTGCCATTTTAATTGACTATTTGTTTGATACTCTTCACTCAAAATACACACTTTTAAAGGCTTTTTGATTGGATATGTCATTTTCAGTTATTTCTATATTCTAGTTTAACGCTAACATAACTTCCACGGCAAATTACTAGAAGTGTATTTTGTTAAAATACTTGAATAAAATAAGATGAGAAACCAAATCAAGGAACTTCATGAAATTAATGCAAAAATAAAATTCCAATTCTGTCTTTAAACACTTTTCAAGGATTTATTACATTGACTGTAATGGTCTAGTTTACCATGATGTGATGAATCATTTTTGTATGAGAGGAACGTGAGGACAGAATACATTGTCCTGTTATTATTAGCGAGCTCTCACCTTTAGGGGCGAGGTTGAGCATGTCTCCGGCCCGCACAGAGATCTCCTCCTCAGACGCAGCAGAGAAGTCATACTCTGCTCTGGCCACCACATGGTCATCCTCCCCACTCGCCCAGTTAGTGGCTAAACAAAGAAACACAAAACATTGTTACTTATTATTGTATTAAGAGTAAAAGACAGGCTACGTACACCAAAATCAGCTTTTCTGGTACAGAATTAATCTTTGGTCAATGAAACGATGTTTTTTAAAGATATCAAAACATCTTCAACTGTAAGTCTTTGATATTTTCTCGCTACTTTCAAAAACTCAAACAGAGACGAGTACCTGCCGCAGCACTTGCTCCGTCTGTGTGTTTGAGGGAGGGAGAGGGAGAGGGTATTACGTGTAATGTTTCTGTAAGGATGAGTACGCTTTTTTTTCTCTAGCAGAAAAGTGCTGGTCAGAGCATTTGAAAAAATACCCTGGCACTATGTAGATAAGAATTTAAATACTAATAATAATTGCGACATCATGTAGCTTCAAAGTTTAAAACTGTACGATAGAATCATTTAATTTGCCTGTAGTCTGTCATATACCATTGGAGGTCTATTGTTTTGGGGGATTTTGGGGGAATTAGTATTAAGTGGTCCTTGGTCTGAAAAAGTTAGAAAAACACTGATATAGATACAGTGTTTCTTAACTGTTGGCCAATGAGACACAGAAATGTTTTCATTACAAATAATTGGTAAAGCCAGCAGTAATGGTGAACTCAACTGTGCTAGCATCTGCTTGCTAAGTGTTGGACATTTCTTTACAAACAGAGCTGCTGATCTAAAGTGTAAAATAAATGAAGGACAGCTCCTGAGCTAAAGAAAGTATGTGCATACTGTACACATTTAAAAGTTCACCATCTCGTGTGTAAAATTTGGAATATGAGCCTCACCGCTTTCCTCAGAGCCAGGGCCAGAGCTCAGCAGTTTCCAGATAAGGTAGGGTCCCCCCAAAACTACAATGAAGAACAGAAGGATAGGCCAGGACTTCACAGGCTGGCCCTCAATCCCCGCTCCATCCCCTCTGGACACACTTGTAGCAAGGGCATCACTTGAACTGTCTGCCCACAAGTCGTCCACCTCAGCGTCTGATCTCCGGCCCAGCAGCCTCTGTAACCGTCGGTAGAAGTAGCGCAAGGTGCGTACCAGAGCGAAGGCTGACAGAACTCTGGTGAGATGTGAGCGCAGCCGTGTGAGGTGGTTGGCTACGTCCAGCACAGCACGGAAACTGTTGTACACGGCTGAAAAGGTGGCGTCCAGCATCATGCTGACGGAGGCAAAGGCCTGGACGATGCTCTCGATGGACTGGAAGGCTCCGCGACTGCTCTCCTCCGCCTGCTGCACGAACCGGCTGGGGGCGACCTCTTCCGTGTGAGGGGGGCGGCCGTACCCTCCTCCCATGCCGTAGCCACCACCACCACCACCATAGCTGTATGGGCTGTAGCCACCATGCATGGAGCCCCCATAGGGGCTGTAAGACGAGGAATTAAAAGAGCTGTAGGAAGGTCGGTAAGACTGCTGGGCGGAGCGAGGGGGCACCGGGGGAACCATTCTGGTCAGGACGGGACGGCCTACAGGAGCGGGGCCTGGAGCTAAGCCAAAGTTTGCAGATCTGTGTAATGAGAAGACAAGACAAACGGTTCAAAACATTGTCAATTATTTTTTTAATCAACATGGTCCACAGGACTAGGGTGGGAACTTTTAGGATTTAAGTCAAATAACAGTGTTGTTGTTGTTATTTGTATCAAACTGAGCTTATATGTAATGTTTGGCAGTATATTGCCTGTAAAGTAATACATGGTTTAATTTTTTTTGTTATTGATATTTTTGTTAATCGAGCCCAAGAGTCCATATTATGTATTATTTTGGCTGGATGATTTTTTAACATTTGGTTCCCCTTTTATGTATTTTCCCATTCCAATTGCAACGTACGTGTAAGTATGTGCATGAATATGATTTATATTATGCTATACATTATTTATGTATTTTATTTCAAAAACATTACAGTTATTACTAATGCTTTAGACCTATTAAGTTTATTCAAATAAATAGCAGCAAACTTTCACATTTGTGTGATTGATTTGTAAAGACAGTATTTTTGAGATACAAGTAGTTAAGTAAAAGTTATAAAGTATGAAATGAAAATATTCAAGTAAATTACAAGTAGCTCAAATATACTTGAGTAAACGTAGGTTACTTATTCATTGCACCACTGAAAACTACCCGAAGTTGTAAGGGGCAATTCGAAATTATTAAATGGTTTTAGTTTACATGTTGCGATGCATTTAATGTACAGCGTTTCGATACACACTTTATGTAACTTCAGATAGCAGACACACAACATGGCCTCATTAGGCCTAGCTAGCTGGTTAGCTATTAGTAGCACAGGATAGCTTACTTTATTTAAACGGCTATCGTCGGTAAAAATATTTTGACAAATACTAATTAGATCATTGTTCAGTGTTTTAAACCACCATGTCAAAGTCTCCACTGTTTGGAACATATCACCTCGCTTGTGCAACAACTTTAGTGTAAACTAGCTAACTCTCTAACAACAACTGCGAACCAGTTGTAGTTAGTAAACAAAAA